GGAAGGAAGGAAGGAAGGAAGGAAGGAAGGAAGGAAGGAAGGAAGGAAGGAATTGAAAAAAGAAAAGAGGTCACAAAGTAGAAGACTGGCAAGATACGTTAGAGAGGGTCACCCAGATGGAATGGTACCCAGCTCTTAAAAATAACAGCTCCAAAGACTGCAGCGGTATATATGTCCATGACATAATTTTAAGTAAAACAAGCTCAACCCACGATGGTCTCTGCCTAGAACTGGGTAAAAATACACCTTCAGATAAACAGAGACCGGAAGGGACACCAAAAAGCACAGATTGTCAGGGACTTTTTTTTTTTTCTGTCTTATTCTTTGCTGTGGTGGTGCCATGAATACAAATTGAGAGGGAACTGTGGTGAAAGAGAATGTGGAGAAAGAGTGTGCCGGGCCTCAGGGGTGAAGGGTTGCCATCAGAAACACCTGCGTTTCTCTGGGCATAGGGTGGGCGCAGAGTGCTGGGCTTTTGGGGTGGGTCAGTGCCAACGTGCATTTCCCAGTGTGAAATGCAGCCTCCCTGATTTCCAGACAAGTGGCGTGTGTGTGTGTGTGTGTGTGTGTGTAGGCCAGAAGACAACCTCAGACACCTTTCTTTTCTTTTTAAATATTCATTTTATTTTACACTTGGAGGGCTGAATATGTGCACCACGTGCATGCAGATGCCCACAGTGGCCAGAAGAGGGCGTCTGATGCCCTGGAGCTGGGATTATAGTTACAGTCCCAAATGGGCGCTGGAAACTGAGCCCATGTTCTCCGCCAGAGCAGAAAGGACTAGCTACTACTGACCATACCTTAAGCTCCTCCCCTTTCCTTAAGACGGTCTCTTGATGGCTGGAACTCACTGAACTGGCTAGATCCTCCTGTCTCTGCCTTCGCAGCACTGGGATTAAAAGCACGCTCTTTTTGTTTTTCCCGATGTGGATTCTAGCGATGGAATTGGGGCCCTCACGTTTGCAACACTCCAGAACTGCGAAGGGCGATCCACATCTGTGAAATAATACAAAGTCTCCGGGGTCCTAGGCTGTCCTCGATCTCACGCTGTAGGGAGGATGCTCCCGACACCTGATCGCTAACGATTGGGGATTGCAGGTGTGCACCACCACGCATAGTCTGTGCACAGCCAGATGAACCTCAGGGCCTCACGAGTGCCAGGCAAGTGTGTCAACTGAGCAGCAGCCCCGTCATGTGGAAGCTCTATCAGCCCAAACTTCAGAACGAGACTGTATTTGGAGGCAGGGCCTTTAGAAGGATAGTGAAGTTAAAAGGAGATGGTAGAGGCAACAGGATGGCTCAGAGGTAAAGGTGCTTGCCACCAAGTCTCCTGGTCTGCATTCGTCTTCAGAACCCACATGGAGGAAGAAAAGAATGGACTCTGGCAGTTTGTCCTCTGACCTCCACACATGCAGCAAGGCACCTGTGTACACGTGCACACACACATGAGCACACACACACACAGATAAATGCAAAGAAACAGTGAGAGCGTCTTGACGGGCCCTGGCTAGTCTGACGGGTGTCTTCCGAAGAGAGACCAGAGAGCTGAAGTGCTGCTCAGGGGTTTAGAACATCAGCTCCTCTCCCAGAGAGCCCAGCACCCTTGATTCCCAACACCCACGTGGCAGCTCGCAACCGGCTGTGACTTCAGGTCCAGGGGATCAGATTCTGTCTTCTGGATTCTGCGGGTACCCTGCACACATGTAACGCACACGTGCATGCAGGCAAAACACATGCATACCTAAAATGATCCAATACATTTTTTTTTAATTCATAAAGAAAGTAAGGACACTGGAACACAGGGTGTGTGCGGCCAGAAGAAAGGCCACGTGAAGATAGAGTGGTAACAAGTGTGCCCATGAGCCAGGGAGAAACCAGCCCTGTCGCTGCCATGTTTTCCAGGACTGAGAGAGGAGAGAGTGCTGTTCTTGAAAATACTCAGTCTCTGGTTGTGAGTGTGCGTGTGTGTGTGTGTGTGTGTGTGCTACTGAGGATTGAACCTAGGGTTTTGTTTTGTGCGTGCTGGATGAGTCCTGGGTGGCAGAGTCTGTGTAGCTACAAAACCACACCAGCCTCATGCCTGTAGGCATCCGCATAGCGCTGGCAAGATTAGACAGTAAACCAGAGCGAGAGGAGCTTGCTCAGACGGGCCCAGCCCGCAGCCCCAGGTCCTCCACGTGAGGACCCAGGGGAGGTGGGTAAATATCTGTTGGCTAAGTGGAAAGGAACAAACCTTCAATTAATGACTCCCCGAGGGTTGTGGGGGGTGAGGGTTGGTGGAGAGATGGCCAGACGGTAAAAATTTCCATCCGCTGTGGCTGTGAGAATCCGCTGGGATATCCCAGCAAGGATGGGGGAATTAACAGATGGCAAGAAATGAAGATAAATAAGCAAGATGGTTTCAGATGATGGTAGGGGAGTGAGAAAGTGGCATCAGGTAACTTGAGAATGAAAGGTCACTTTATAAAGGATGCTGGGTGAGCCACAGGGTTCGTTTGGAGGGAACTGCGTGCCTCCCTTTTTCATTCAGTTCTCAGCATCGCCATCTGCTGGCTAACACCTAACTGCCTCTCTCTCTAGCTCCAGGGGCTCTGACACTCTACTGGGCTCAGAGAGCACCTTCGAGCACATGCACATACCCTGACACACATGTACATAATTAAAATTTGAGTGAAGAAATAATTTAAAAATGAGTGCTGGGGAAAGCTCTTTAAGGAGACGGCATCTGAACTGGGGCATGAAAGGCAGGATAGGACTTTGGAAAGATCTAGAAGATCTACCATATCCCTAGCCCTCCCTTCTAGGGAAGGGAGGGCTAGGGATATGGTACAG